GTCTACGCCAGAGACGACATAAACTAGCATATACAAAAACTAGCCTTCTGTATCCGTGCTGAGATTTCGTCAGCGACCAATCCGTTAGCTCTGGGGCTGATACAACTTCCCCCTCACCCCACCCCCAACAAATAAATGAATCGAAGTCAATACGCTCCATCAACCACTTCACTTCCTATTTCTTAAATTTCACAGTGGGAGCGAATCGCATGCCCAACATTCGTAGATTCCAGCATAAGGTCATGCGAACACAGGAGATGAAAGCATGTGGGACAGACGTGGAGCCAGATGAAAACCAGACGCAACGCAGGCGTCCGACTGAGGCCGTATGTTCCTCAGTCAGAGGTCTGAATAAATGAATGCAAAGACACACAATACCATACAAGTTTATCCATACAAAACCACAGTGTATATTTATATTATCTCATGAAGTTAGCATAAGAAAGAATTAAACAACATGAGTACAACTTTATATAGTTTTGGTTTGTAAGGATTAGTTATGTTTTACGAGTCCAGTACTCCCTGGTTTTCAATGGTTCTCTAACTGATATCAATCCGTGATCAACTCGTACAACTTTATAGCCAACAATCTACTACACATTGAAGAAAAATGAAGAAAATATACACACATATAGAAAAATATTCACTAATCAATCAATCAATCAATAAAATCATTTGAACACTAATCAGAGAAGAAGAAGAAGCACTTTTTTCTTTATTAGGGAACCAGTAAAAAATAATACTACACACACAAGCAAAAATATGTAAATATCCATATATATATATATATATATATATATATATATATATATATATATATACATTTCTCATCAACTATATCAATCTAAAGAAGGACTCAATTTCATGCAGTAGTAATACACGAAGAAGAGGAGGAGGAATCGAATTATTTGGAGTAAAGGTGTTTACAAACCAACCAAAAGGTCATACATATATCATGAGCCGTCGGGGGGAGGGGCGCCGGGGGATTACAGTAGAAAACTGGGAGTATTTCACACATAAATAAGTAAGAAAACAGACGAAAAATCAAAAATTTAAAAAAAAAATAACTACATCATCATCATGATCAATACCGGATATTCTCTACTTCATCGATTCAACCAAAATAGAAGTAAAACAGACGCGAGTGCAGCAATTCCAGCATAGCTTGTATAGGACATATTTTTGTCAAACACCTTGAATTTGTCGATATCAGTTAAAGAAGAAGACGGTTTCATTGGAAGATGATCAGCACTAGATATCTAAAATATGCAGACACAGAGAAAAAAAAGAGGGCTTCGAATAAGATAAAGGTTAGTAACTAAACATACATATTCTAGCAGCATGGATTTACAAGGGAGAAAGAGGAAGGGAGTGCGAAGCTCTATTCTGCACCACTTGATCGACTCCTCCTCTATCACTCTACCAACCTTCAGCATGATTTTAAGATCATCTATCCAATTCATGATAACCTACCGGCCGCGTTTTTTCGTTATAGACTTCTAAAGACAGAGGAAACCTTGACCATTTACGAATTCAAACCAGCCAGACACCTTTGTGTACAAAAAGAGATGTATGTACAATCCCTACTTCTGCCTTGGCTATACAGGAAGAGACATTTATTTATTTTGTTTATTTAGTTATTCTATGTGCCTTTCCCTCATAACTACGATTATCGCTATTATTATTATTATTGTAACTAGTATTGTGGTGAGAGCAGGCTGCTAGCAAAATTGGTAGACATTAATTTACGTCAAGGTTTATGTCCCAAATATTGATCGTGAGAAAATATGAACAAAGACTGATTCAACAACCAACCACAGCAGACTTTGCGTAGGCGGATACAGTTAACATATAGATGATCTGATATTCAAGAGACAGTCACAAAGAGATACAAGGCTAACTTTCTGTGATAAACAACCAATCAGAAGACTGTTTTTCTGTTAACAATAATCTATAATATGTACATGAAAATCTATAAATATGTGTTGATTTCCTTAATAAATGATCTGTTGTCTCACTCTTGCTTTCTGTCGTTACAATTGATGTCGCTGCCTCCGAACAATGAAGATCCCATGGCCAACTACGTTTGAAGAAAGAGACACAGGGAGCTTCCTACGTGACTTCGAGGCCGTAGCTGCGCTGGTCGGTGTCAAGGAGCAGGCGGCGAAGGCGGCTGTCCTGGGGACGCTGTTGAGAGGCCGAGCGAAGGAGGCATATGACAGCGTAGCGAGGTCAGAGGGCACAGCGTCTTGGAAGACATCGGTGGAATGACTGGTGTCGGATTTCAACAGTGCAACAGACAGACAGCTAGCAATGCAGCAGTTCCGTTCAACGAAGCCGGGACCTGATGGAGACCCTATAGTATTGGCGGTGAAATTGACGAATCTACTTCGACATGCGCTTCCCACTTCGGATGAGGAATCAGAGGCGCAGTGACTGAGCTCCCAGTTCATTGAGTGTCCGAGACCATATTTCTCAGCGATTACAACTGGTTAACGCAGTTTAGCCGATGCATATTAGTGAGCTGGCGAAGGTGACCAGACAGCTGATGAACACAACTACAGCCACTCCAACAGTCATTATATTTCTTGACCTAAAGGCATCATTCGATTCTGGCGATCGGGAAGATCTCTGGAGATGCTTGGCTATAAAGGGAATTCCAAGAAAATATATTGCACTAATTAAGGCACTCTACTCGTACTCATACAGACAGGTGAGGGCTTACGGCGAGCTGTCATCTGAACTGATGACGACCAGTGGTGTCCGTCAAGGATGCCCATTATCTCCTTTTCTATTCAACTTCATCATAGATGTGTTAATGGACTTAACCCTAGGTGACTTCAGTGGCTCAGGAATTAACTTGCTACCAGGGAATAATCTCGTTGACTTGGAATATGCAGACGATATAGTCCTTCTAGGCGAAGACACTGACGAAATGCAGAGTCTTCTAAACACCTTGAGCCGCAATCTACGAATGTTTGGCATGCGATTCGCTCCCGCCAAATGCAAGATGATGTTACAGGACTGGACTACATCGACGCCTAGTTTAAAAATAGGAAGTGAAGTGGTAGAGCACGTTGACCGCTTCACTTATTTGGGAAGTACCATCAGCCCCAACGGGCTGATCTCTGACGAAATCTCAGCACGAATACAAGGGGCTCGTTTCGCATTTGTTAGTTTACGCCGACTCTGGCGTAGACGAGATGTTCGACGATCGACCAAAGGGCGGGTGTACTGCTCATCAGTCCGCTCCGTCCTCCTTTATGGTTGTGAGACCTGGCCACTGAGAGTGGAAGACATGAAAAGACTAGCTGTCTTTGATCATAGGTGCCCGCGCTCTGTTTCCCGTGTAAAGTGGCATAATAAGGTGACCAACATTGAGGTTAGGCGTCGAGTTCTAGGTAAACAGGGGAAATCAATCGACGAAGTCGTGAAGTTACAAAGACTGAGATGGTTAGGACATGTGTTACGTATGCCAAACCATCGCCTCCCTCGACGAGCTATGTTAGCGGATATAGGGTCAGGCTGGAAAAAAGCTAGCGGCGGTCAAACAAAAACTTGGCATCAGTCAATGAAATCCACAACAGTTGGTCTAAGCCACGTAGAAAGGTGTAAACTTCCAGGCTGGGGTCCTCGGGACGGTAAAAATCTATGGTTGGAAACAATTGGTGACATGGCTCAAAATCGTTCTCAGTGGCGCAGATGCATCCACTCCCTGTGACTTATGATCTTCAATGAAACTGTTTTGTATTTCTTTATTACTCCTTTGTCTCACACCTCTGCTCACTGTTTCTATTATGCTTTTCTTGTACTTTCTTCTCTTGCTTCGCGTGCTACACGGAATGTGGCGACTTGAACTTCCGCACATTTGTGCAAAGTTCTATGTCGAAAACAGACAGACAGACTACAGCCACTCCAACTCACCTAGCACTCAACTGAAGCCTAACCTTAATATTGCTCACCCCATTATACCCCTTCACACACAAGGGAGATAAAACGCAGGCACCTATGATGAGAGACAGCTGGACAAGTTTTTCATGTCTTCCACTCTCAATGGCCAGGTCTCACAGCCATAAAGGGGGAGGACGCAGTAAACCGATGAGCTGTACACCCGCCCTTTGGTCGATAACCAGATATCAAGTCAATGCCACAGACGGCGTAAACCGGCATACGCGAAACCAGCCTTATGTATCCATGCTGAGATTTCGCCAGTGATCAACCCCTTGTGGCTGATGCAACCGACTGACCGATAGCTGGTACCTTGAAGTGGTGGTCGGTCTTCCATATTTCAATGACCCTACCATGCCAGGAAGGTTGTTAGGATAGCAATTAGACTATAAGCAGTTACCGGCATAGTGTAAGAATTTTTTTACACTATTCTGGAGGTCTGTGGGCACAGTCGTACTGCCAGGAAACATGGATGTAACAGAAGTAAGGTGTTTATCTCAGACGACCAGTGTGGCAGCCAGCTATTTTGTTTCCCCAATCTGAAGAGAGGGGGTTAGAAAAGGTCAACTCCAAAAGCTGTACATTCCTACTTACCCCACCTACGATGGCCCATAACCGGCGGAACCAATCCAAGAAACCAATTCACACAGGCCGTGTGTGACCGGCTGGCCTCAAGCAGTTGTCCCCTGGCCTCTGCGGTCACGCAACACCAACTCTCTTTCTGTTTTACGCACCCGAAGATTCACTCAACTTCCACGATGTGAGCAGCCAGGAAGTAACAAACACCAACACACACTTCCAAAAGCACACGAAGCCCACTTGAGCATCATTCTGCTTTATCTACACATTTGACAGGAGCGCGATTCGCATGACAAACATTCGAAGACTGCTGTTCAAGGTGAAATTAACCACCTGACATTTGAAGGGGGATTCAGCTTAAGATCATTTGACGAAGATAATCAGAGTCTCGACAAATATTACTACTAATAATAAATGAATATATCTCATGTATATTTAGAAAATTTAAACGAAAGCCTAACAATATGACATACTTTTAATGCTGCTTCGTTAATTGACTTCACAGACTGAAAAGGAAAGAAAGAAAGATAAACGGTGAATAGGAATAATATATAAGTCAAGAGTAAGTACTTTAGAAAAACAAAATGAAATATGACTGGTCAGTGTTAATTAGTAGAATGCATTTGTTAACTTTCCACAAATTGAAATAGTGTCTGGGAATCAGAGGAAGTCCCATCGGGTTGGTGTAAGTCACTGACTATCCCCATATACAAGAAGGGAGACAAGTCTTCCTGTGATAATCACAGAGAGATTAGCTTGACTAATATAGTATCTAAAGTCCTAGGCTCAATATTATGGCGTAGACTAAGTGGTGCTCGGGAGGCACAAACACGAGAGAACCAAGCAGGCTTTAGACCAGGAAGAGAGTGTATTGATCATATCTTCACCCTCCGACAGATTCTAGAACATAGTCATTCCTACCGGCGTCCAACAGTCATTATATTTCTTGACCTAAAGGCATCATTCGATTCTGTCGACCGAGAGGTACTCTGGCGATGCTTGGCTATAAAGGGAATTCCAAGAAAATATATTGCACTAATTAAGGCACTCTACTCGTACTCATACAGACAGGTGAGGGCTTACGGCGAGCTGTCATCTGAACTGGTGACGACTAGTAGTGTCCGTCAAGGATGCCCATTATCTCCTTTTCTATTCAACTTCATCATAGATGTGTTAATGGACTTAACCCTAGGTGACTTCAGTGGCTCAGGAATTAACTTGCTACCAGGGAATAATCTCGTTGACTTGGAATATGCAGACGATATAGTCCTTCTAGGCGAAGACACTGACGAAATGCAGAGTCTTCTAAACACCTTGAGCCGCAATCTACGAATGTTTGGCATGCGATTCGCTCCCGCCAAATGCAAGATGATGTTACAGGACTGGACTACATCGACGCCTAGTTTAAAAATAGGAAGTGAAGTGGTAGAGCACGTTGACCGCTTCACTTATTTGGGAAGTACCATCAGCCCCAACGGGCTGATCTCTGACGAAATCTCAGCACGAATACAAGGGGCTCGTTTCGCATTTGTTAGTTTACGCCGACTCTGGCGTAGACGAGATGTTCGACGATCGACCAAAGGGCGGGTGTACTGCTCATCAGTCCGCTCCGTCCTCCTTTATGGTTGTGAGACCTGGCCACTGAGAGTGGAAGACATGAAAAGACTAGCTGTCTTTGATCATAGGTGCCCGCGCTCTGTTTCCCGTGTAAAGTGGCATAATAAGGTGAGCAACATGGAGGTTAGGCGTAGAGTTCTAGGTAAACAGGGGAAATCAATCGACGAAGTCGTGAAGTTACAAAGACTGAGATGGTTAGGACATGTGTTACGTATGCCAAACCATCGCCTCCCTCGACGAGCTATGTTAGCGGATATAGGGTCAGGCTGGAAAAAAGCTAGCGGCGGTCAAACAAAAACTTGGCATCAGTCAATGAAATCCACAACAGTTGGTCTAAGCCACGTAGAAAGGTGTAAACTTCCAGGCTGGGGTCCTCGGGACGGTAAAAATCTATGGTTGGAAACAATTGGTGACATGGCTCAAAATCGTTCTCAGTGGCGCAGATGCATCCACTCCCTGTGACTTATGATCTTCAATGAAACTGTTTTGTATTTCTTTATTACTCCTTTGTCTCACACCTCTGCTCACTGTTTCTATTATGCTTTTCTTGTACTTTCTTCTCTTGCTTCGCGTGCTACACGGAATGTGGCGACTTGAACTTCCGCACATTTGTGCAAAGTTCTATGTCGAAAACAGACAGACAGACTACAGCCACTCCAACTCACCTAGCACTCAACTGAAGCCTAACCTTAATATTGCTCACCCCATTATACCCCTTCACACACAAGGGAGATAAAACGCAGGCACCTATGATGAGAGACAGCTGGACAAGTTTTTCATGTCTTCCACTCTCAATGGCCAGGTCTCACAGCCATAAAGGGGGAGGACGCAGTAAACCGATGAGCTGTACACCCGCCCTTTGGTCGATAACCAGATATCAAGTCAATGCCACAGACGGCGTAAACCGGCATACGCGAAACCAGCCTTATGTATCCATGCTGAGATTTCGCCAGTGATCAACCCCTTGTGGCTGATGCAACCGACTGACCGATAGCTGGTACCTTGAAGTGGTGGTCGGTCTTCCATATTTCAATGACCCTACCATGCCAGGAAGGTTGTTAGGATAGCAATTAGACTATAAGCAGTTACCGGCATAGTGTAAGAATTTTTTTACACTATTCTGGAGGTCTGTGGGCACAGTCGTACTGCCAGGAAACATGGATGTAACAGAAGTAAGGTGTTTATCTCAGACGACCAGTGTGGCAGCCAGCTATTTTGTTTCCCCAATCTGAAGAGAGGGGGTTAGAAAAGGTCAACTCCAAAAGCTGTACATTCCTACTTACCCCACCTACGATGGCCCATAACCGGCGGAACCAATCCAAGAAACCAATTCACACAGGCCTTGTGTGACCGGCTGGCCTCAAGCAGTTGTCCCCTGGCCTCTGCGGTCACGCAACACCAACTCTCTTTCTGTTTTACGCACCCGAAGATTCACTCAACTTTCACGATGTGAGCAGCCAGGAAGTAACAAACACCAACACACACTTCCAAAAGCACACGAAGCCCACTTGAGCATCATTCTGCTTTATCTACACATTTGACAGGAGCGCGATTCGCATGACAAACATTCGAAGACTGCTGTTCAAGGTGAAATTAACCACCTGACATTTGAAGGGGGATTCAGCTTAAGATCATTTGACGAAGATAATCAGAGTCTCGACAAATATTACTACTAATAATAAATGAATATATCTCATGTATATTTAGAAAATTTAAACGAAAGCCTAACAATATGACATACTTTTAATGCTGCTTCGTTAATTGACTTCACAGACTGAAAAGGAAAGAAAGAAAGATAAACGGTGAATAGGAATAATATATAAGTCAAGAGTAAGTACTTTAGAAAAACAAAATGAAATATGACTGGCCAGTGTTAATTAGTAGAATGCATTTGTTAACTTTCCACAAATTGAAATAGTGTCTGGGAATCAGAGGAAGTCCCATCGGGTTGGTGTAAGTCACTGACTATCCCCATATACAAGAAGGGAGACAAGTCTTCCTGTGATAATCACAGAGAGATTAGCTTGACTAATATAGTATCTAAAGTCCTAGGCTCAATATTATGGCGTAGACTAAGTGGTGCTCGGGAGGCACAAACACGAGAGAACCAAGCAGGCTTTAGACCAGGAAGAGAGTGTATTGATCATATCTTCACCCTCCGACAGATTCTAGAACATAGTCATTCCTACCGGCGTCCAACAGTCATTATATTTCTTGACCTAAAGGCATCATTCGATTCTGTCGACCGAGAGGTACTCTGGCGATGCTTGGCTATAAAGGGAATTCCAAGAAAATATATTGCACTAATTAAGGCACTCTACTCGTACTCATACAGACAGGTGAGGGCTTACGGCGAGCTGTCATCTGAACTGATGACGACCAGTGGTGTCCGTCAAGGATGCCCATTATCTCCTTTTCTATTCAACTTCATCATAGATGTGTTAATGGACTTAACCCTAGGTGACTTCAGTGGCTCAGGAATTAACTTGCTACCAGGGAATAATCTCGTTGACTTGGAATATGCAGACGATATAGTCCTTCTAGGCGAAGACACTGACGAAATGCAGAGTCTTCTAAACACCTTGAGCCGCAATCTACGAATGTTTGGCATGCGATTCGCTCCCGCCAAATGCAAGATGATGTTACAGGACTGGACTACATCGACGCCTAGTTTAAAAATAGGAAGTGAAGTGGTAGAGCACGTTGACCGCTTCACTTATTTGGGAAGTACCATCAGCCCCAACGGGCTGATCTCTGACGAAATCTCAGCACGAATACAAGGGGCTCGTTTCGCATTTGTTAGTTTACGCCGACTCTGGCGTAGACGAGATGTTCGACGATCGACCAAAGGGCGGGTGTACTGCTCATCAGTCCGCTCCGTCCTCCTTTATGGTTGTGAGACCTGGCCACTGAGAGTGGAAGACATGAAAAGACTAGCTGTCTTTGATCATAGGTGCCCGCGCTCTGTTTCCCGTGTAAAGTGGCATAATAAGGTGACCAACATTGAGGTTAGGCGTCGAGTTCTAGGTAAACAGGGGAAATCAATCGACGAAGTCGTGAAGTTACAAAGACTGAGATGGTTAGGACATGTGTTACGTATGCCAAACCATCGCCTCCCTCGACGAGCTATGTTAGCGGATATAGGGTCAGGCTGGAAAAAAGCTAGCGGCGGTCAAACAAAAACTTGGCATCAGTCAATGAAATCCACAACAGTTGGTCTAAGCCACGTAGAAAGGTGTAAACTTCCAGGCTGGGGTCCTCGGGACGGTAAAAATCTATGGTTGGAAACAATTGGTGACATGGCTCAAAATCGTTCTCAGTGGCGCAGATGCATCCACTCCCTGTGACTTATGATCTTCAATGAAACTGTTTTGTATTTCTTTATTACTCCTTTGTCTCACACCTCTGCTCACTGTTTCTATTATGCTTTTCTTGTACTTTCTTCTCTTGCTTCGCGTGCTACACGGAATGTGGCGACTTGAACTTCCGCACATTTGTGCAAAGTTCTATGTCGAAAACAGACAGACAGACTACAGCCACTCCAACTCACCTAGCACTCAACTGAAGCCTAACCTTAATATTGCTCACCCCATTATACCCCTTCACACACAAGGGAGATAAAACGCAGGCACCTATGATGAGAGACAGCTGGACAAGTTTTTCATGTCTTCCACTCTCAATGGCCAGGTCTCACAGCCATAAAGGGGGAGGACGCAGTAAACCGATGAGCTGTACACCCGCCCTTTGGTCGATAACCAGATATCAAGTCAATGCCACAGACGGCGTAAACCGGCATACGCGAAACCAGCCTTATGTATCCATGCTGAGATTTCGCCAGTGATCAACCCCTTGTGGCTGATGCAACCGACTGACCGATAGCTGGTACCTT